GGCCCAACCAGATGGTGGACCTCTGCACATGATGACGTGCTCATACCCTTCCTCGCAAATTTGGCCAAGTCTGGTCTTAAGCCAGACAAAAACTTTAAGCAACATGCATTTGCAATGGCTGCCGCTGAAGTGAACAACAAGTTTGGTACTTCCTTTCAAGCGAAGAGTGTTGTAAACCATATGAAAACAATCTGTTCTTGGTTTCAAGACATGCAGGCTGCTCGTGACATTAGTGGGGCGGGTTGGGATGAAGAAACGCAAACGATCATGTTGGATCCTGAGAGCTTTGATATGTGGAATGAGGTAAATGTCATCGAACAATATTTTTTGGCTTTTGATTCTGTCTCCTACACGTTGGTCAAATGTTGTATATTGATGCGTGCAGGATAAAAATAAGAGCAAGCTAAAAGAATACATTAATAAGCCTCTGAAGCACTTTGAGAACCTAGCAATCATTTGTGGGGATGATCAGGCACGGGGGTAACTTTGCTAAGGCAGCAATGGAGAAATTTGGGGGTCAGGAGCCGATTAACCTTGCAGGTGATGAAATGGAGAAATTTGGGGGTCAGGAGCCGATTAACCTTGCAGGTGATGACGATGAGGATGATAGCATTCATAAGTCCCAAAAGTCCCCGCACTCAGTCAATTAACCTTGCAGGTGATGACGATGAGGATGATAGCATTCATAAGTCCCAAAAGTCCCCGCACTCAGTCAACTTAGCAGATGAAGATAATCAATCCGAAAACACCAAAGTTAGGTCATCCAGCAAGGACAAACAGAAGAAAATGCCTTCGGCTAGAGGGAGGAAGGCCCCATACCAGCAGGAGATCATGCAACAAATGGTTGAGGAAGTTAAACATTTTTCTCATTCTCTAAATCTTATTAATCTGCACTGGACAGAGAAATTGTCCAAAGCTATCTTCAAGCACAAGGATACTTACACACTAGAATTCCTTGAGCTTTTTTATGATCACATTTTTTAGGATGAAACCAAGGCCAGGCATTTTATAGGGAAGAGTGACTTCGGCCAGAGAACTTTGTTAGAAAATTTCAAGAAAATGCAAGATGGGGGGGGCTAGTTTGACATTTCAGGTACATAGTTTGATCTGGTGCTTAAACGTTCGTGCAAGCTATCAGAAATAATCCTCGCTCATCTCTTTACCTATTGTTATTTACAGGGTCATTTTGGAGATGGGTGGGATATATATTTTGCAAATTTTGTGAGCACAGTGATGTTATTTTGTAAGAACTACTAGTTGGTGGGTTTGCATGTATATTTTTTGGGTAGTTTGCGCTGTAGCTACGTTTGTGAATTATGATGCAACCGTATGTATGATGATGAGTGTTGTTTACGTTGTAGTCATGTCTATGCGTACTTCAAGTGACATTGTTTTTTGGCCTTATTTCAGGTGAACGTTGGTTTAATGCAATTATATGCAGGTGTCCCATTCAACGCTATCACAAGTTGATATGACAAGCTGTCACTATATGCATTTTAATTGCATGGTGCTATGATGAGGTCATGCAAATTTTACCTATATGCTTACATGTAGCTTAACAATGTCTAGGCGAGGCATGGTTTTGTTGGCCACAAGCATTTAACATTTATTGCAGCCTTACGTTGTTATAGCTACATTGTACTTGCATAAATGTTTGTTGATGAAGAGCTTGAGCACTGTGTTTTGGGCTGTTACCTATATGCATGTTTTACTTGTGCAATGATGACTGTCTTTTACATGATATTCTACACCAGTAGATAGTACATGCAATGTTTTGGCGAGGCAATCCCAACATGAGCGTAATGAGATAAGTAGTAACATGTGTAGGAATGCAGCCAACATTGTGGTGCAATTGTTTACTGGTGTGGGATATATGATAATGTAGACATATATCTGAGCACAATTGGATTATTAACACTATGACATATATAGCTTTGCTTGTCATGCTTTCATTGCTATCATGTTTGACATTTCAGATACCTATTGATTGTGATTCCTCCTGTTCTCACTTTGGGAGTTTTTTTTGCATATAACATCTGTAGTTTGTGTTCTTGTTTTACGCACATGTTTTTGTTACCTATATGCATGTCCTGATTTGCAGCATCATTGTTATCTCCAGCTGTTCAGTTGTGTATTTGAACTCAGACTTTACACATGACCAGTCTTTTTTGTGACTGAACCTGGATTTTTGTGCTGTTACCTATATGCATGTCCTGATTTGCAGCATCATTTTCATCTCCAGTGCCTCAGTTGTGTATTTGAACTCAGACTTTACACCTGAGCTGGTTTTTTTTGTGACTGAGCTGGGTTTTTTGGGCTGTTAACTATATTAATGGTGGGATTTGTGGCATCATTTTCATCTCCAGCTGTTCATATGTGTATTTGAACTCAGACTTTACACCTGAGCACTTGTTTTTGTTACTGAGCTGGGTTAGAAGGTCTGTTACCTATATGCATGTTTTACGTGTGCAATGATGACTGTCTTTTTTACCTGATATTCTTCAACAGTAGATAGTACATGCAATGTTTTGGCGAGGCAATCTAAACATTTACGTAATGAGATAAGGAGTAACATGTATAGGAATGCAGCCAACATTGTGGTGCAATTGTTTACTGGTGTGGGATATATGATAATGTAGACATATATCTGAGCACCATTTGTCAAACTTTATTTAACATTATCACCAATGGAATGTAACCCCTTTAAGCTGTTGAATTGGATTATTAACACTATGACATATATATCTTTGCTTGTCATGCTTTCATTGCTATAATGTTTGGCATTTCAGATACCTATTGCTTGTGATTCCTCTTGTTCTCACTTTGGGAGTTTTTTTGCATATAACATCTCCAGTTTGTGTTTTTGCTTTACGCACATGTTTTTTGTTACCTATATATATGCATGGTGTGTTATGCAGCATCATATTCATCACAAAGTCTTGCAGATGTGTATCTGAGCACAATTTATCAAACTTTATTTATCTATATCACCATTCGAATGTAACCCCTTTAAGCTGTTGAATTGGATTATTAACACTATGACATATATATTTTTGCTTGTCATGCTTTCATTGCTATCATGGTTTGACATTTCAGATTGTCATTACTTGTGATTCCTCTTGTTCTCACTTTTGGAGTTTTTTGCACATACCATACCAGCAGTTTGTGTTTTTGCTTAACGCACATGTTTTTTGTTACCTAAAATATATGCATGGTGTGTTCTGCAGCATCATTTTCATCACAAACTCCAGTAGATGTGTATCTGAGCACAATTTGTTAAACTTTATTTATCATTATCACCATTGGAATGTAACCCCTTTAAGCTGTTGAATTGGATTATTAACACTATGACATATATAGCTTTGCTTGTCATGCTTTCATTGCTATCATGTTTGACATTTCAGATGCCTATTGCTTGTGATTCCTCTTGTTCTCACTTTGGGAGTTTTTTGCATATAACATCTGCAGTTTGTGTTTTTGCTTTACGCACATGTTGGATGTTACCTATATATATGAATGGTTTGTTCTGCAGCATCATTTTCATCTCAAACTTTTGCATGTGTATTTGAACTCAGACATTTGTTACCTACACACAAAAGTCCCTGCAGTCTTCTCAAACTTTTCATTACCTTTTTGTTACGCACATGCTTTCATTGCACATGTTTTTGTTACCTACACACATAAGTCCCTGCATTCTTCTCAAACTTTTGCATTACATTTTCAAACAGCAGATTACAATGTTTATGACCACAAGGGAAATACTAAATATTCCTACGACAGCAATACATTTCTTCAAGTAAACAACTTGTTGGTTTGCAAGCTTCAATTCTCTTCGCAAGTGCTTGTTTTCCACATCCTTAACTTGGGAAACTGGTTGAGGAGAGGGATCCAAATTTACCTTTCGGTTGTTGTTATCGTGATGCTCTTCTGCCCACCTGAAATACTGGCATTGCCTATTTGGATAGTTGGCGCATCCCCAAAAGTATTTGCCCTTGTTTACTCCTGATTTGCAAAGCTTTAGTGGCGTAGGTATGTTACAGTAGCAAGTTACCTCTGCAGCTAATTCATGAGAGTCTTGGCTTGTTTCCATGTCGCCGCTTTAATTGCCTCTATGGTCAACTATTTTTGCCCAGGTTTCCTGCAAATTTATGAGAGAATACCTTGAAGGAGGATTGAGATGATCCACCTATATAAGTGCAGGGGTGGGGTAACTTGTTTCCGTTGGCAAAAAAGTGTTGTTGCAAATGATAATGGTGTGACTGTTTTGAGATGTCAGTTTTTGACCGTTGCACACTTTTTACCGTTGCTTCTTTTACGCTGGGTTTTTGAGTTGTTTTGAATTTTTGAGGTTGTGCAAACCGAACAGGAGAAAACCAAGAAATGTGACAAAGGACAATACATTTCTATCATGTTAAGAGTTGAAACGAACACAATAAATGTGACTTTTGATTTCAATCCCTTCATTTCCATGTTGAAACGAACAAAAAACTTTAAAACTGAGAAAGCACATTGAAATGCTGGGAATTTGTTTTCTTGGTACAATGCTGATTTCTTTTTTTTGGCGGAAAACAACCGAACAGGCCCAAAGTGGAGGCTAGGGTTTTTACTTGGATTTTGGGTTAGCGGTTACGTGTTTGGAACTTTGGATACGATCCGAACCCTCATGTTTGTTAAATTGCGGATATCCGTATCCGCAACCCTCATATTCGTATCCGAAAAAAATCAAAACCGTATCAGTATCAGTGTCCGTCCGGTTTTAAAAATAGCTTATCATATCCATATACCATTTGGCACCCCTGCTCCCTCCACAAATTTCTACTGGCGCTGCCCAAAATTTGAATCCGGATCCAGTCACCTCCCTTTCAGTTTTCCATGTGTGTCGAAAGGACAAACACCTTTCTATCCAGCGAATCCACACCAAGGTAACTGCACATGCGGTGACCCGACCTCAACTCATATAAATCGCCTCTACTACGCGTGGCTCTTCCTAACCGCCTCCGCTCTTTTTTTTTTCCCGTCGGTTGTGGAAGCGAGGTACGGAGTTCTGATTATTTCTGTTGTTATTTATTCTCGATTTTATTTCTTTTTATTCAAAAAAGTTCTAGGGTTTCGAATCGTTTTCATCTTCATGTTGCTTGATTTAGATTGAAAAGAAATTTAGGGTTTGTTGTTTGTTAGCAGATAGTGACATTTGTATCGAGAGGTGGAAGAGGGTTTTCTAGGGTTTCTTTTATTCGACCCATGGCGTCGAATCCAGAGCTAAGCTCTAATGAATCCCCTGTCGAAACCCTAGAAGAGAACAGACCGGGTACTGATCTTGTTGATGGATCTCCAGGAGATGCGTCTAGGGTTCAGAATCAGGATGGAGATGGGAATCGAGCGAAAGAGGAGGGTTTTGTTACTGGAGATTCTACGGAGAAAGGGGGTTCTGTTGTCGGATTAGGAAGTAGTAAGAAAGATGGCTCCTTTGAGGGTTTAGAAACAAAGGGGCGAAAGGAGGCAGATGGGGATTTGGGTTCAGTTGCCCACTACAAATTTTCTCTTGGAGAGGATAAAACTGGGTTCTTTATTGATGATTTGGTTTGGGGCAAGGTTAAGAGCCATCCTTGGTGGCCGGGGCAAATCTTCGATCCGAAATATGCATCAGAAATGGCATTGAAGAGGCAGAAGAAGGACCATTTTCTGGTTGCATATTTTGGGGACAAATCTTTTGCTTGGGTTCCCGAATCCAACTTGAAGCCCTTTCAATCAAATTTCTCGACGATGGAGAAGCAGAGCAGTATGGAGTCCTTTTCGAATGCGGTTGATTCAATTATTGAAGAAGTTTCGAGGCGGGTTGAATTGGGAATGGCTTGTTGTTGCTTGGCGGATGAAATTTATGCTGATTTGAAGTATAAGCAAGTTGAGAATGCTGGGATTCTTGAAGGAACGTGCAGTTCTACTGTAGATAGGTCCTGGTTTGTGAATGCTTTTCAACCCCAGTCTCTTCTCGAATGTATTCGGGTATTGGCTCAGTGTCCATTTGGACGGTTTGATAGACTAGGGCTTACGATAGCTACAGCTCAATTGAAGGCTTTTTACCATACAAAGGGTCGCGCTGAACTTGCTGCATACGTTTCTGGTGACGGTTTGGTAGAAAATGATGCTGAGGTCCCAATTTCTGAAAGTAAAGTATCTGGGAAAGCTAAAGCTAGTTCAGCTCCTATTGCATTAGCTATCGAGTCTGGGAAAAAAACAAGAGGAAGACCACGTAAGAATCCTATTCCTGAAGATGTTACCGAGGGGAAGAGTCTAAAGAAACAGAAGAAAGAAGAAGATGCTCAACGACATGCTGTTTCAACTCCAGTTGCTTCAACTATCAACTCTGGGAAAAGGAGAGGAAGACCACCTAAGAATCATATTTCTAAAGATGCCAGTGAACAGAAGAAAGAAGAATATGCTCAGCTTGCTAGTTCAGCTCCAGTTGCTTCAAATGTAGAATCTGGTAAGAGACAAAGACGCAGACCTAGCAAGTACCAAATTTACGAGGATGGTACTACTGATCAGAAGAGTTCATCTGAAGAGAGGGAAGAAGATGATAATTATCTGGCTGAAGGTGATGAAATTGGATCTAAAGTGAAATCTACTAGAGCATCTTCCAGGAAACAGATGATTGATTCGGATTCTGTTGGATTGGGAAGAAGGAAAAGAGGGAAAATCCATAAAGAGACTGACTCAGAGACTGAGATACTCTCATCAACTCGTGCTAGGTCCATGAAGGTTGGAGATCGAATCAGACGAATTTCAAATCAACTGAAAGGGATGCCAGGCATTCTCAAGTCTAATGAGAAAAGTCCACGAGATAATGTATTTGCTGCGGAGGATTATTCTTCTCCAAGTGAAATGCTGTCACAGCTCTGCCTTGCTGCTGCAGATCCTTCAGAGGGACAAGATTTTCTGTCTATGATTATAAGCTTCTTCACTCATTTTAGGGCTTCAATTGCATCTAGCTCTTTTGAGGATCAGGAGCCTGTGAAATCGACAGGAAGAAAAAGAGGCAGGAAAAAGAAAGTAACCAGCTCTGAGCCTTCCTCTTCTGGAATTTCTGGTCCGGATTATATTCAGGACTCTTATTGGTCTGATATTGTACTTCAAAGCAGTCCAGAAAGAGAACCGGTATCGAAGGGACAAAAAAGGAGTCATAAATCTCAGAAGAAGGGGAAAATGAAGAACACAAGGACTGCAGGGGAACAAGAGGTGAATGGAGAGAGAATTACAAGGAACATCGTGGAGGCAGTCAAGGAAGAGACACCAACTGCGCTGATATTGAGCTTCACCGAGACTGATTCCCTTCCTTCGGTTGCTGAACTCATTAAGATTTTCAGTCCTTATGGGCCTCTCAGGGAGGAAGAAACTGAGGTTCTGAGAAAAACAAGCCGTGCTAAAGTTGTTTTCAAATATCGTCATGATGCAGAGAAAGCTTTCAGCAGTGCAGGAAAATATAGTGTTTTTGGGCCAGCACTTGTCAGCTACCGTCTAAGGTACACACCATCACCCAAATCTTCTCCAGCTACCTCTCCTCAAGGCAAGAGTGATGCTTCACCGAGTAAAGATGGTAATTCAAAACTTCAAGGTTCCGCTCTACTTTTCCTTTTTTATAATATAGTCTTTTGAATCTATGTGATCATTGTGATAAATCCTTTTTTTTAAACTCTGGAAGGCACCGAAGTTCCAACTGCTAATATGTGAGCTGAAGATATTTGCAGCAGATTATGTCGAGTTAAACTGGCGGATCATCTTAGAAGGTTTTCATTACAATTAACAGAAAGGTTATGCTGGTATGTTTTTATCTTGCATCGAATCTTACATGTTCAGGCTACTTCTTAGTTTTTGTTCTATACTAGGTGTAGAAACTGATCTTTGTTGTTGACCTGCCAAATTTTGTACTGGCATTTTCTGGTGTGATTGGGTTACTCGTATTTTGTGTATAAGTTAACTCTGTAAATGCATTGAGGTCAATCTATGTTCTGGAGTTTTAGTTAGAGGAGCTCTTTTATATGTGATGCAATATCACACCTTGTTTATATATGAAGGTGCATGTTTAGTTTATTTATGACTCTTTTTTACTTTCTAATTTATCTTATTGAAATTATTTCTATCGAATGGAATTGTTGCCTGAAATAGTTTCTGGAGTTTGAGCGAATATTTCTTAGAGTTGTTTGACTGGCAGTCCCAATCTACAGCAGTGTCATATTTGGAATGTTAAAAGGATCATTATGAACAAAATTGATGGCTTCAGTAGGAGGCTGTACAATCTTTTTAAGTCTGCATTTCTCAATTAAAATTAATGGTAACAGATCGAAAGCATTGAATGCTTTAATCAACAGGGATTTCTGAGCTATGTTTCTTTTCTATGTTTTTAAAGTAGGCTTGTTGTCGCCAACTTAAGAACATAACAAATTCGTTAATGTCATCTGATTTTTTTTTATTTAAATATTGATCAATGATCAATTGTAAAGAAAGCTGTACAGTTTTCTATTAACAATATAGGTTAACTCCCATCCTCTTGCCTATAAGGAAGGAAATTCGTTAAACAAGCCTGTAGCTTGCCTTGAAGTTGTGACATCATATGCAAACAACTCTGCCGAAACAAATTCCTTTGTGGAACCATATCAAACTTCATTTTACCCATAAATTCGTTGCTCTGGTGGGAATTTGTTTTGATCTGTTCCATGGACATTTGCTTTCGAATGTTGTGCGTTTGTCAATTTGTTTCTTCTCCTTCTGAGTGATTGGTCGATGGTTGCAAATTTTGTTAAGTTATTAGTGAACAAAAGATTTCTTTTATGATTGGCATATAAGTATCAGGATGGGTGTTTTAAAATGTCCTAAGGTCACAATCCATTGGCAAGGAAGTAGTATAGTGGCTTGTTAGTTCTAAAAATTCCTTCAGTTTTCATTATTCTCTTATTCTAATTTATATCGATAAAAATTCCTTCAGTTTTCATTATGTATTGCCTTGTAAGAAAAGCCTGCTGTTAGCTATAGTAAGATGAAATATTTAGGAGTAGTGTTGTAATTAAACGGATTGAAGTATCTCAAGTAAAGGAGGGGGGCTCAAATTACTTGATCAAGCAAGCTCCTTAATTTCTTGTAGCCATTCAAGAGGAATGATTCGAATGATTACCGCTCTTTTGAAGGACTGAGAGCCGAGAGGGTTCCCTCGGCGAAGAATGCTTTGGAGTTGTGCTCGAGAAATTACACGGATGGGGCTACAATCCCTAAAGCACGCGAAAATTGATACGACCGCGCAAAACTTTGCCAAGTCTAAAGAAGAGCTCGAGAACTATGGTTGTGTTAGTGAAGTTGTCGAAGCCTTCTAGGGGGTTTATTCACTGGTGCATTTTTGAGGTAAAAGGAAATAATTTTCGGAACCTATCTTTTTAGGGTTATTCATTGGGACATTGAAATTGAGACTTTTACTTTTGATGTTATTAGTTGTATTAGAACGCTTTTGGGATAATTGTCCACTGGGGATAAAATTATCCCACTTCTATAGTAAAACTTTTATCCCCAAGTCAGCTTTTACCCCACTCTTCATGTTGGGCTAGTTTATGAGCAAGTGGGATAATTTAAGAACACTCATATCTTGACTAACTAATAAATGATAATCATACTAAATACTTAAAATAATTAAATAATATATGTTAAATAAATATAAAAAAGTTAAATAATTTATAAATATTAAACTTATTATTATATGCTATATTAATTATAATATGATATAATATTTTCTATTGTAATATTGAAATATATTATATTGCAACACATTATATTACGATATTATTTTTGTATCAAAGTTATAACATGATATGTTATAAAATAATATTTTTATTTTTACAATAAATAGTAAACTAAAACCTATCGTTAATATATTATATTATAATAGCATTATATTAATTATGATATAATGTACTTTAATATGCTATAATATTGCATATTGTAATATTTATTAATTATAATATATTATGATATTATATCATAAATTCATAATATAGTGTTGTAATACAATATAATATATTATACTATAATTTATATTTTTTAGAATATATTGTCCATATATTATATCAATAATTATATAATATAGCACACTATTTTAATATAATATAATATATTAATTAATACTATATTAATACAATATAATATATTAATTAATAATGTTAAGCGTGGTTATAATAAATTAGTAATTATAGTATAATATATTATATTTTAATATGTTAAACTAATATACTATATTATAATAACATACTAAATAATATAACATGGTAATTGGATAAATTAATTTAGACTTAATTGATAAATACGTATTATATTTTAATAAGGTGTAATGTCATCAACTATCTCAAATGAATTACCAAATTAAAGCTTCAAACTGTCCCATTATCGCAACTTATCCCACTTTACCTTACTCAAAATATCCCAAAGGGATAAACTTAAATTGTCACATTGGAACAATTGTTCCACTTAGCACCAGCTTGTCCCAACCAATAACCTCCTCATCTTTTGTTTCCTCTTGGCAATTGTAATTGTCAATAGAGCTTTGCTACAGGGACTCAAAATATGGGACCAATAAAGGGGACAAGTGAGGTGTCCCCCATCTATTGGATAATGAGTTGGCCATCATTAATGATGACCAACTCATTATCCAATAGGAAGATGACACCTCACTTGTCCCCTCTATTGGTCCCATATTTTGGGTCCTTAAAGAATTTTTCTTGTCAATAACCTTCTTGTGATCATGAAATAAGATTATTATTATATTTTTGGTTGGTTGTTGAACGCGTAGTTTTGTATTTGTAGCGAGAGTAGGGATGTGTCGGATCGAAACTTTTACTTGCCTAATCTTCTTCGGTGCACGGCAGCAGTACCATCCACCGATCAGTTTAAGCTTTAGCGTGTTGGGGGCGTTGGCTGTTATAGAGTCACAGAAACACTTGATTTAAAGTGAGTTCATGTCGTTGATTGCAATAAAAAATTATTTAAAGGCAGTTTACATATAAATTATCAAAAAAGCTAGGTGGTTTATGTATACAATATCAATGGTTTATGTATAAAAATTAAAAAAAAAAATATCAATCAAATGTGATTTTTTTGGGATGGTCCTATCTTAAATGTGCTTTATGTACGACATTAGAGCTAGAAAACAAAGGTCATATAACTCATAATCCATGGGACCTTGGTAATAGACACACATCGTATTTAAGCAAGCTAATTAAAGCCCGTCAACTGTAGACTGATTCCATGTAATATATCTCCCTGATCAAGATCTAAAAACAAGTACAATCCAACTCAAAAACCACATAGATACACCAAATTAATCCACCGTCAACTGCCACATAGATAGTACATCAACCAGCTAGCTTTGACATATTAATTAATGTCACATTCGTACTAATGTCTCACCAAACAAAGCCGAAGTTATAAAACAAACTAGCTAGGGTATCAAACCCGACCCAAATCAGCGCCCTCGTCTTAGGTCTGAGACGTTCAATCGCTTGGAAAAAGGAAAATAGACTAAGCACCTCCGTTCGCTAAGATTTTTCAGGAAAATCTTTTGACTATTAGCATGCAATTTAGTGATCGCCCCTTAATTATTTGCATGGGTTATAACTAGTGCTCGGAGTCGGTTTCTGTTGTTGTTGTGTGCTTGAAGAGACTCCTGACACGGCATCATCAGGTAAACATGCTTTCAAATTCCACCGGTCACGAATTTAACCATAAATTAATTTGTTAAGTCAGAATTCCATGCATCCAAGTAAAAAGCTTTGTATAACAAGGTGTCAAAGTTCCATCAGTACGAAGCTAACCATCCGGGTGATCCATGTCTATTAACGCAATAATGCATCGAGGGGGTGTCTGCTCTCGGGTCACCATACAAAATTTCAAGTTCACTAGTTCATTAATAGGCATCTCTTAATTTGATATCATTAATGCAGTATATATCATAACATATTGAATACTTTATTAACCAAATTTGTCCTAAAACAAACAGATAAATCGTCAAAAGAGCAGAGTGAGGGGGAGCACGCCTCCCATGGGCGTGACCATCATTTCGTGCTTGCAGGCCTACCCAATCCAACCCAACAACCCACGAGCTACTACTATTAAAAAAAAGGGTAGAGAGAGAGAGAGAGAGAGAGAGAGAGAGAGAGACTCTCTCTCTCTCTCTCTCTACTAAATTACTACTAATGAAACATTTGATATCCACAATGCCAACTCACGATCTCAGATGTTCCAGCCAATTTACAGCCAGAACAGCAACAATTTGCAAAAGGACCTCTTTCTTGGTCAAACTGACCAACAACTCAAAAACTAAAAACTTTTTTTTTACATTCTCTGTTTTCTTTTTCGTGATTCCTACAGTTGTCCACGTTATCACCCATTATAATCCTCACCTCATCTTCACCTTGATACGGGTTTACAAGCAGGAGCGCGTTTGCCCCCAACATTACATATTTAATTTCCTCTCTTTGCAAAAATGGCCCTTTTATGCTATTATTTTGGCAAAATTTTGCTATATTGATTGATTGGTACGAAAAAATAATTACGGTAAAGTGAAAGCAGGAGCGCGTTTGCCCCCAACATTACATATTTAATTTCCTCTCTTTGCAAAAATGGCCCTTTTATGCTATTATTTTGGCAAAATTTTGCTATATTGATTGATTGGTACGAAAAAATAATTACGGTAAAGTGAAGTAATTAATGCTTCTGTTGAGTTCTCCATTTCCCCATGCAATCTTACGACTCAGGCAACCCAACAGTCACGAATATCAGCTCTCGTTCATCGTCCAGCAGCTTTCAATCGTGAAATTGTCCAGCAGCTATCTCGTTCATCGTCCTTCAGATCTTCAGCTCTCGTTCAGAAATCGTCCAGCAGCTCTCGTTCATCGTTCATCGTTCTTCAGCTCTCGTTCATCGAGAAAACGTCCAGTAGCTCTCATTCATCGTTCTTCAGCTCTCTTGTTCGAAGTCCAGCAGCTGGACATTGCTCAACATTTTATGGAGATTGAAATGGAGAGCTTGAATTCAGGTGTGCATGGTCTAGTTTTTTTCATTGTAATGGAACTAGATTCAGTATTTAAAAACTTAGTCATATGACTTATTATCTTGTAGCTTACATTCTTAAACATTTTATGGAGTTTTAAATGGAGAATTTGATGCATTGAATCGAGATTTTTTCATTTGTTCTAAATGGATAGTGGTAAATATTGGTGGTCTGGATTATGCAATATGCACTCTAGTTGAGTTTATCTCGATTCAGTTGAGTGGATCGAGATAAACTGGGTGAATCTACTCTATTCAGTTTAGTGAATCGCGATTCACTGGATAAATCGTCTCGATTCAGTTTTGTAAATCGCGATTCAGTTGAGTGGATCGATATTCACTGGATGAATATACACGATTCAGTTGAGTGAATCGCGATTCAGTCGAGTGGATCGAGATTCACTGGGTGAATCTACGCGATTCAGTTGAGTGAATCGCGATTCACTCGTTGATTCGACTCGATTCAGTTTTGTAAATAGCGATTCACTGGGTGAATCGTCTCGATTCAGTTATGTAAATAGCGATTCACTGGGTGAATCTACTCGATTCAGTTAGGAAAGTGAGGGTTTTAAATTTTTTCCATTTTCTTTGATCTTGTTAGAATAAGTCAAGTAATTTTTATATTGTAAGATGTTTTCATTTGATCTAAATGGATAGCGGTAAATCCAGATTCAGTATATCAACACATATGATTGATGGTGTTTTATTTTCAGTTGTAGGCAGCAATGAACAAATTTACATACCACATGTTATAAATGCATCGGACAGTGATTTTGGGGAAGATGGAATGGACGAAGTTAGCTCTATTCCTTTTGAATCACCAGGTGGTGGTATGTATTGGAAACCTCGGGTTGAAGCTGAAGTTAAACCTTATCTAAACCAAAGCTTTCGCTCACTAGAGGATGGTATAGAGTTTTACCGAGAGTATGGACGTAAAAGTGGGTTTGAGATCAGACGGCATACGGAGAAGAAACATGAGGACGGTACAGTTCTTCTTAAACACATTGTTTGCAGTAGAGCTGGCAGCAATGAATCAAAGATGGATGTTGATATTGATGAGTCTAGTAGCATTTTGAAAAAGAGAAGGAGAACTGTATCTAGTAGATGTGGTTGCAAAGCTAAGGTCGTATTTAAGTTTGATGGTTTGAAAGGATATAATGTTCTCTCATTTGTTGAAGAGCATTCTCATTCTTTGGTCTCCGGTAGTGGGAAACAATTTTTGAAGTCAAATAGAGTTCTCGGTCTCGCACATAAGAAACTTGTATTTGATGGAGCAAAAGCCAACATGGGGCCTAACAAAACATATAACTTTGCTAAAGAGTTGTGTGGAAGTTATTCTAATGTTGGTGCTACTTGTACCGAGTTTAAAAATTGGAGTAGGGATGTGAAGCTTTATATTGGTGATCGAGATGCTCAAATGATCATCGAGAAGTTCACGGCTAAGAAGGAGATGAGTGATGGATTTTTCTATGATTATGCAGTCGATGAAGGTGGTCGATTAACTCGCATTTTTTGGGCAGATGTTATTGGTCGAAGAAATTACGATGTATTTGGAGATGTGATATCATTTGACTCTACATATTCCACAAACAAGTAAGATTTTATAGTTAATCTCTTACTATTTTCAATATTGTAATTATATATCATAGTGAATCTTATATTTTTTGTATGTGATACAATAGGTACAACATGAAGTTTGTTCCATTTACTGGTCTCGACAATTATAAGAAGTGTGTTGTATTTGCAGCAGGATTGATAGCTAAAGAGGACATTGATAACTATGTCTGGATTTTTGAGGTATTCATGAAATGCATGATTCGCGAGCCAAAGTGTATTGTTACAGATCAGTGCCCTGCCATGAAGCAAGCTATACCAACTGTCTTTACAGAAGCACGTCACCGCTTGTGCATGTGGCACATAATGAAGAAATTTAACCAAAAGGTAATGAATCATGCATTCAAATATAATGAATCCTCATTAGATAAATACTGAATCTTTCGTTATATATTTATATTGTAGTTGGCAAAATGCATTTCGAAGATGGATGATTTCAAGAGGAAGATCAATGCACTGATTTGGAGTGTAGATATAGATCCAGCAACATTTGAAGTAGGTTGGAAAGATGTTATGAAAGAATATAAGCTTGAAAGTAATGAATGGTTGTGTGAACTGTATAACATTCGGGAGTCATGGATTCCAGCCTATTATGCTGATGATCCATTGGCTGGTTTATTGCGTACTACATCAATATCAGAGAGTGAGAACAGTTTTTTTGACAAATTCAACCGTAGATCTGACACATTGACAGAATTTTATCTCCGATACGAGAGTGCTATGGAGAAGCAAAGGCATACAAACGCAAGATTAAACTATGAAGGAACGAAGTCGATGCCAAGAATGGACGGGCCATTGTTATTGGAGAGGGATGCAGCAGAGTTGTACACTCGAACAATGTTTTATGAGGTACAGAAAGAGATAATGTCATCCTGTTATGATATGAGTATCAACAGTATATCAGAAGAAGATGGTGTGAAGATTTTTTCCTTAAAGGACAAAAAGAGACATGGAAAAATATTTGAGGTAAAACTTAATAATGGAGATTGAAACAATAAAAATTGAATCCAGATTCAATGCA